TATGAACAAATAAAGTCCCTCGAAAGAGGATAAATAAGAGGAAAAATCTCTCTCTCTCTCTCTCTCTGTCTGTTTACGATTTATATGCTTATAAATTATTCAGATATGAGATTAGATAAAATGAATGTCATTACAATGACTTACATAACACAATACAAAGACCAATGATAATAAATAGTACAACACAAAGATTTTTAATTTAATTGTTATTCAAATATTAGACGACTTAAATATTTTTAAAACACATTCTATAAATATATCACTAGAAAAGAAATGTTCATATAATATTAAATACTGTAAACGACTTTTGATGCAGAAAATAGAATGTAAGGAAACTTAAAATCCTCCTAATTGTGGTACTAGAGGACTGCAAATAAAGTGCAAGCTACATTCTAGTTGTAATTTTTCCCCGAAAGGCTATGATATAGCACATAAATTAGTTAGTTTGACCCCTCCCCCTCCCCTCTCCAATAGTACCTGCTGTCTCTAAGAAGCACAAGACTATACAATGCGTCCCAGAAAAAAAACGAAACCTAGAATTATCGATGTTTTATTATAACTTAATCACACTTATAATTAATAAATGACACATATTTGTAAAGTTTAGATCCTCCTCTTTCATTTGATGCCACTCATATTTCACGCAGGAGTGATTAAAAATAATTTAAAGAGAGATTTTTTGATGAAATATGCACTGATCACATTTTGGTCATATACCATCGATCAATTATATGAACATCAATAGCAACCAATAATGTATTAATCTTAAAAGAACTATACAATTAGAAGTTCAGATTGAGTATTAGTCTCTATAATGTAAAAATGTTAGTGGTGTGATGTATACAAAATTGAAACTAGATTCTCAATGAGTTATTTTCTCTAAAACGTGCAAGATCTCAGTTGAATATCGAGCATTTTTGTATCATCATCATCATCGTCGTCATTATAATTATTAAACCGAAAGCGAGTAATCTCTGAAATCGACGATTGTTCCGCTCAGACTTCATCTTAGTCCGGTAGACGGTACCATGTACCATGTACCATGTACATGACCTGGCAAACTTGATAAGTTCAAGGTGTTTTTGTTGATTTGTGTTCTAGATGGGTTTAGAAGTAAATTCAGCTTGGTTGCCAGCTTGGCAACCTTGGGCAACTTTTTTAATAGCCAAATTAGCATAATCATCTAATTAGCATAATTATGTGCAATATGTAAATGTTGCTAATCTCAATCCAAGAAGCCTGAAAACATGGATAATACGACTTTTCAAGGGTTTTTTATGACAAGGAATTCATTTACGATACCAATTTTTATTTTTGAGTAATACAAATGTCTTAAATAGCATAATTAGCATAATATGTACAATATATGGACTTCGTTGTCATTGTTTATCTATAAAGCCAAAAAATGGTACAATGCAACATTGTAAATCACTTTTGAAAGATTAATCATTAATTCATAAGAAGATATTCCATGTATATAATTAGCCTATTTAGCATAATCATCTAATTAGCATATATGTGTAGTATGTAATAATGTTGCTAATCTTAATCCAGGAAGCCTGAAAACATGGATAATGTTACTTTTCAAGGGTTTTCTATGACGAGGTTTTCGTTTATGACACCAGTATTTATTTTTGAGTAATGCAATTGTCTTAACTAGCATTATGAGCTAATTAGCATATGTTTGATATATGGACTTTATTGTCATTGTTTATCTATAAAGCCTAAAAATGGTGCAATGCAACATTGAAAATGACCTTTTGAAAGACTACACATTTATTCATTAGAATATATTCCATGTTTTGAGGCTTCCTGGATTGAGATTAGCAACATTTACATATTGCACATAATTATGCTAATTAGATGATTATGCTAATTTGGCTATTAAAAAAGTTGCCCAAGGTTGTCAAGCTGGCAACCAAGCCGAATTTACTTCAATACCCATCTAGAACACAAATCAACAAAAAAAAACTGGTACTTAACAACTTTTCCAGGTCTGAAAAACTTCCACAGGACCATCTGGCTACATTGTGTGAGGGGAAGGCTGACAAATGTCATTTTTATCAAAAAATTCCCCACAACAGATGGTTATTTCTTTATAGCTCATAGCCTAGCTTATTGACAAGAAGATTACAATGGAGCCACATATAAATATGTAATTGCATATCTGAATCTTATCATTATGATAATAATCTAGATATCAGTGTCTATCTATCCAAAATATATTCAGGTTTGGTACATTATCTCAATGAGCATCAGTCAAATAGAAGATATTTCTAGATCTGAAATAATAATATTAATGATGATGATGATAATGATGAAGATGACAATAATAATAGTAATAATAAGTCATGATTAATCCACCCTCTACATTAGAATGACTTTACATGACTTTTTGTATGTCTACAATTATCAAGTTAGTGTCAATTTGGACAGATATGGCGCATTACAGAATAAATGTTCACTATATTATTGTCATTTTTTAAAAATTCTGATACCAACAGAATTATATCTAAATCCTACTGTAAATTTAGATAATTTTCCATCAATTAATCTGTTACATAAATGTACAAGATAATGGGGCTAGATCAATTAGTAAGGCAGTGGCAGATCACAGACCATGATGCTGGTACCCCCCCCCCCCCACCCCCTCCTCCTCCAGAGCTTCCATTTGGAAATTCTCCTCTTTTCATGTCCTATTTTCGCTTCCCTTGACTATGTGGGTCCAGATCCAGATGTAGCCCGAATTTTCAGTCTCTTTCGTTCGTTAGCCTCTGATTCGGGTAGGGTCGGCTCCACGAAAGAGACAGAAAATTCGGGCTTATCCAGATGTAGACATTGATCGTGCAACTACCCCCCCCCCCCCCACTTTTTTTGTTGTTAAATTAATATTTTCATCGGTCAGCTTTCAGTGTTTCTGCTTCATATCACTGATAAGATTAAAACTACCTGTATTTCGGTTGTATTAATACAGTGTTAGTTATATAAGAATGTAATTTTACGTGCCACATTTTTTGGGGAAACAAGTTCGGAATAAAATCCTGTATTTTAAAAGGGTTTGAGGGCTACCCTCTTTATTAAGATAAAAATAATGACTATGAGTATGACTCCTTTCGTGAGATATATGCTGTTCACAATTTTACATGTATTTGAACTACAGTTTAAACGCACTCACAAATTCCTTGAATGTTCTCACTACTTCAGCTCCTCAGTAAACATTACATTTTAAGTCAAGATTTCAACGTTATACATTTGCTAAATTGCATTGGAAGCAAACTGATTGACACTTACATCTTTAGCAGGATATACGCGATACGGTTGAACACAAATGATCCTTTCGTAGAGGCATTTGATGATTTGAGACACTAAAACTACGCATCAAAATGGTGGACAAACATGACTTGATGTGGTTCTGACCTATGTCGTACGTGACCTCCGTTTTCCGCACAGGCACGGTCTTGGATAATAATGATGCTATATCCTGCATCAAAAAGGTATTGGTTTCTAATTGATTAAAAGCGTGTCACATGATAAGATCACCGCGAAAATGTGCACACATTTCAAGTGAAGTGTATAGACTACTATGATAAAATCACAGTTTTTTGAAAAATTCCTCATTTGCATTGTATATGGTAATTTATGCAAATAAGGTCATACAAATCACATTTTTACCCTTTAATCGTATATTATTCATATTTAAGCATTCATTTTTACTACATATATTCATAAGCCCATTTGAAAGGATAATACGACAAAAAATTTGAAGAGCCAGCTTATTCCTTATGTTATCTCTTGTTTTGATAATTTCTTATGTATTTTATTGTTTTTGTTGTTTTATTTCATTTCTAACTACAATTCAACTATTTTGACTACTTAAACAACCACCTAAACTTTAAACAAAACCCAGTAACCAATGTTTGATCTATTTTTAGGAAAAATGACATTTCCATATGTTTTGTACACAAATCACGAAAATAAGCGATTTTCGGGCTGACATGCAAAGACTTAATGTCACGTGACCTTGTAACTGTAGGTCCGATTTTCAAAAAAATCCTTTTAATAGATGCGCAAGACTCGAAAGAAAATAGTCCGCAAGTGGCGGGGCGCCATCCGTATGCGTTCCCGAACAATCAGCAAAATCGCGGGGGGGGGGGGGGGCATAATGCCCACCGGCCTTATGAGTACCTCAACTAAAAGTACAATTAACGGCAAGCATGTATAAATCTGTGTTTTTCAGTCTCTCCGTCTGACCATCAGTCTCCATTTCATCCTCAACCCCACCCCCCCCCCCCTCCCGCTTCCCCTTTCCTACATGTACCTTTTTTTGGCCCATCAAAATAATATAATGTAAAATAATATAAATCTAACTCTCTCTCTTTCTTAAAATACATTTCTCCCTTCTACTCATTTCCTCTCTCTATATAATATATATATCTCTCTCCCTTCATCCATTTCTCCCTTTTACTCATTGCCTCTCTCTATATAATATATATATATATGTATCTTCCTTCATCCATTTCTCCTTTCTACTCATTGCCTCTCTCTCTCTCTCTCTCTCTTTCTCTCTCTTTGTATATACATATTTATCTATCTTCCTTCATCCAATTCCCCCTGTACTCATTGCCCATCTCTTTCTCTTTCTCATGTTTTTCATTCTCTGCCCATCTGTAAATCTATCTCTTCTTTTACTCTTGCTCTCACATTCTGACTTCTCAAAATTCTAGTCTCTGTATGTAATTGATGAACAGACAATTAACATATACTCTTTTTTATCCAACTCTCTCTCTCTCTCTCTCTCTCTCATATCTATCTCTTCCTTCATTGAATTCTCCCTTCTACTCATTGCCCATCCCATTCTCTACCCTTTCATGTTTTTCATTCTCTGACCATCTTTACATCTATCTCTTTCTTCTATCTCTTCTTTTACTCTTTCTCTCTTCCTTTCACATTCTGACTTCTCAATATTTTAGTTTTTGTATGTAACTGATGAACCGACAACGTTTACTCTTTTTATACCATTTATTTTCAAGTTCCAAAAGAAGAAAAAAAATCTCTCTAATATGACATGCACATGAATATCATACAATAGAATCTCCAGAATAATTATTCTATCAGCTCTGTATATCGTGCATGAATCGGCATTCTGCACGGCACAACACACAATGTTCTCCCTCTTTCTTTTACAACAAAAAAGATAGCAGAGAATGGAGCGAGACAATTTGAAAGAAGACCTCAACGCACTAGCTACAATCGTGATTATAATACAAAGGTGCTTAATATAAATAAAGCAATGTACACAAATCTTAGTACATTTAGCTTTAAGATCCAGATATATCAGTTATGGCAGTTACATGCATGTGCTCTTGATATCCCTAAACAATACTTTTGATTCCCCTCTTCTTAATTTACAGGTTTGTATTTCGCACAGGAACATAAGCACAGGTTGTCATGGTTATAGACAGAAGGACACTGGTTCAAGTTCCATCTAGACGTCTTAATGTCTCATATTAATAATTAATGCATGGCAATGGTAATACTCATTTCAATGCTTTAAGATAGTGAAGTTCAAATTAAAATTTTCTTCTCGCAAAAAAATGGCATGTACATGATGTGCATCCACAGAATTATTAGTATTTCTAAAAATTCTCACAGGAATTCATGAATACTGAAATCAACTACCGGTATATTAATGACCAATCCTTATTCTTTTCTCACAACAATAGGGCATATACATGTAAATACATTATTCTTAATGTATTTAACTAATACATTAAATTACGTATTTATAGTATCTGGAAGGATTTGCATACTCTTGACAAAAAGATTATGTCTCCTCCACAAGTCTCCTTATAAATCCAAGTTGGCATATACTTTATCTCACAGAAAAGGTATGTTACAGATAGGTAGGTTTCACTTGATAAGTATAACATTTGGAAGGATTAATTTGATATACTCATTGCAAATAACATCTCTGTCGCAGAACATATAACTCTGTATTTAAACATAGAGGTATATATTTGCTCTTTGTTCAAAGGCCTACCAACAAATTGACTTCAGTTTTACAGTAATTATCAATCCTGTTTTTGTACTACTACAAGATTTGAACTCCCTCTATAGTAACTATATAGTGAGAACCAAATTGCAGTACTGCCAACAGCTATGCGTAATAAACAATAAACCAATAAATAAATCAAATTTAATGCACAAATCTTTGTTGAATGCCTCGTTACAAATTATTTCATTCACCTGTTACGAATAAATGTAACCATAAGTCAGAATTCAAAATGCATACATTATTGTTGCTAGGTAGGACAAACATTACTTGTTGCTAGGTAGGACAAACTTTATGGCTTGCCCTACCTAACCTAACAACACGTAATATATGCAGTTTGCATTCTGACTATTGCATTACAATTATTTATAACAGGTGAACAATATAATTGGTAACATGGCAATTAAGAAAGATTTATGCATTAAATTTGATCCCATTATAAAAATGTCATATTCAACAAATGTCACTTCATATTACTTTCCATTGGAGAATAATTGGAGAATCTACATGATAATTATAATCTTAGTCCAACTGCAAGCATGTTTAATAAACAGGCTATTTTCTAAACCTGGAATGCATGAATGAGAAATCAACACAATAATTATTTTTAAAAACGGCACTGCATATGAAATCAAATTGCTTCCGAACCAAAAAAAAAGAAATATAAAGTCAAATCAATATAAAGCAAACAGCAATACCAGAACTTGGCTTTCCAAGTCGATCGAACCTCGCATAATCTGACCAAAATTATAACTTCCTTTAAAATATATGGTCTTTGTGGGTACCTGATAGGAATTTATATTCCTTGAATGCTGTCAGCACCTTAGGACAGCTGGACTTAAGTCAGGGTAATAATAGTACTTTGTACGCGCCATGAGCATCCCCGGTTGAGGATACATATGTGTACGCAATATCAATATAGCTGTTATTAAACTTATTTATTTTTAGAATCACATAGTATGCTTATATTAATCAGAATTTAATGTACAACATGTTTAAGAATACCTGATAATAAAGCTTTTCTCCAGAAAAAAAAAATTTCATCACTAGAAAGCAGCTTCATCTAATTACAATCTATAAACATCTAACAAAGAATTATGACATAATTTACAACACAATTTACAACAGGCTGAATTCCAGCTCTTCAAAATTTCTTCTGAAATACAACTGTACTAATACTACATCTACTAACTACAATCAAAGATCTGCCCCCCTTTCACAATTTTCATTTCAGCATTGTAAAAAAGTGCATTTATTCACATAAATGAGATACTGAACAATTACAAAGAAATAAATTCATTTCGTAATACATTTCACCCTCAACATTGTTGTGTTGAATTCTCTCCGTCAAAGAAAAATACAGGGAAAAAGCAGAGCTACAGATCTATCAAAAGATACTCGAATTAATCAGCTGACATAAGTAAAAGGTTCATGACTGGTATAAAAGAAATCATGATCAAAAGGCTCCTGTTATTGAGTTCATTTATGAACTAAAAACAGATTTATATTTATCAAAACTGCACTGGTGCTGTATCAGCTGGCATGTTAATTAAGCTGCAATGCTGTCAACAATTATCTTTGGTTCTTAAATACAGTGTCCATTTATAACTTGATTTTGTTTGGCATACTAAATCTCTAAAAGATAACGAGATCTAAAGTTTTAATACTGATTTTAACATGAAAATAACCTTTTTTCGTTTAACAAACAAAGATATTTCACTTCATAATACTTCGAATATTTTTTGGCAAAAATTTCATGAAAACTTTAAAGATTACCGGTAACAATAAAAGAACAATATTCTCTCCTAAGAGACGAGGTGAATAATCCTACTTTTAACATTACATTCTCAACTACTTGAGATGAATATGATTATATCACATGTTCTATGTAGCACCTTTATATTTTTAATGCTTGATCTCATATTCGCATTACCCTATAAGTGATATGTAAAGATTTCATTTCTAATTCATCGTATAATAATTAGCTATTGCCTATTTGTGGTGCATTAATTTAACCTCAACCCTTTAGGATAGAAAGAATAATCTACATGACATCCCCTTTGTAAATGGAGTATAACAATCTCCCAATTATATCAAGTGGTTCATTTTTATCCAATGTATCTTGTCAAAGCTTCAGAATTATTCAAAATTATTCAAATCTTGTAGCTTCAGCTCGAAAAATAACTCTAATTGGACTCTTTTCTGAAAATAAAGCATGGTGCTTCAATAAGTCTGAAAGTAAAGTTGTAGAAGGCTTGCGTGCTAGCTAATGCTTTATTCCTAGAGTGCTCTACAAGTATAGAAATACACCATTTGAAGGCACTTGTTGTTTTAATATATATTTCCTCTTTGTTTAAGTGGCAGATAAGAATTGATGTTATATTGACTACCCTGTACATCTAGCTGTCAAAGGAATGATTCTGATATCTTTCCAATTTTACATCTTATACTTTTGGACTTATTTCATCTAAGGAAGCTCATTATAGACACATGCTTCTGTGTCCTCTCTCTAAAAAAAAAGCCGATAGAAAATATATCCTGTTAGTTGAAGCCTTCCTAAATATATGACACTAACCACGTAATGTACTAACCACCTATGGCACTTTCACTGTGAGGTAGCTCTACATCTAAGCTACATTAAACCAAATTAAAACAGATTTACATAACTTTGCCCTATTTTTGTTCTTCTTATTTCAATATATCTAATCAGTTACGAGACATATTAAAAGTCAGAATCCTAACATCTCGATTTAGATGCATCTTTGCATTCACCCTCCAGATGGAAACTTTCAATATACTATCTTGCATGACTTGCCTCTATCATTTAACATAAGTGGAACAGACAAATCAAAAATCAAAAATCAAAAATGAAGAAAAAGACAGACCGACCATGCATTGAATCTACATTGCCAAACTGAAAACAATCCAAATTGTTGCTTCTCTAAAATATATATATATATTATATGGATCTGCATGCTCATGCTCAGAAAAATATGATTTGACACACATACATATAATGTACAAAGATAGAAATTATTTGCACAATTCTTTGAATCAAATACTTTACAAATAACACTGTACTACCCTGTTTGTCTCTCTTTCAAAGCTTATTATCTTTCGCAATCATCCGTCAATAGAAATCATCTCCGACATAACATCTGGCGATATTAACATCGTGTTTCTTTGATCTGGTTATATACCGAATAGTTCTTTGAAGGACTATCTAAATCGTACTCACTAAGACTATATCATATAGCTCAATATTTCCAAGGTTCATGAGTGAACAAAAACTTCCTAAACCTGGCTCGATCTTATGACGAATGATCCAAATTAATCCAAAATCTTCCTCTTACATTTAGCTGTGTCGTAACTATATCAGCTACAAAATGAACATTAAGGTAAAACACAGTCAACTTCAAACAATCAACTCATGAAAAACTGGTGAAAAAATATATCACATCAAAGGTATGTTGGTGCCATTCACTAAGTGCAGATTTTTATTCATTATTTTAATTTTTATTTTTTATTTTCATATTCTCGATTTTTGCTTTTTAATCTGCAGCATTTCTTTTTTTCAATTCCTTTTTTTATTTTTTTTATATTTATTTATTTTAATGTTTTTGGTGGCAATGATAACAAGCCATTCATAACTTCCAAGAAGTTTTTACACATTGTCTGCCGATAGCTAGAAGGACGTTATCTCATACACTTCTTTACAGAGTTAACGTCCTTCTGGCTCCAGCTTTTATACATGGTCGATTTACGGGACAGTGTCATCTGCTGAGAGCCATAGGGGCACAAATCTTGGTTGAAAAGATGGATTAACGCCCTTATGTCTTTCAGAACACAACATTTGACCCAAGGGTGAGAAGCAGAAGGTTGTTATGAATATCAGGTACACAAACTAACTCACTTAGTTCCTAAAGTCCTTCTGTTTCTCATCCCTCAATATATATATATATATAATCTCTTCACATAAACAACTAGATTTCAGCCGTATATCAATATGTAGTGTGGTTCTGAGGCCTTCTCAGCTTTGTGCAGTCAAAGTCTACTACAAGAGACTATGGTACATATAAATGGATGGCCAACTTCACGTTCAAATGCCTGAAAAATGTACATCAATACTTTCATGGTAACTTTAAGGCCAGCTTAGGTAGAGCCTCTCCATATTGTTGAAGACATCAAATGCAGGCTGCCAAACAGGCACATTTTCTAGATGAATATATATCATATCTCTAAATATTTGAAAAGTTTTTGAAGATTAGCCACCTCAAGTGGTTCTAGCCCCATTCACGGATATTGATGTTGATTAATTAATGACAAATAATTCAGGTTTGAAAAAAAATGCATGTCTAGATGTCTATTGTACGTAGAAAAGGGACTTATGACTTTACCTCCTATCCAAGGGACAAGGTCTTTAAAAATAAGACATTATCAATAAATGACTCCCTAAAGATTTTGGATTCTTTGCTGGTTTTGATCACAGAACCTTTGGGATATCGATCCCAGAATCTTCCAGTTCTGCCACAAAGTAAACAATGATATTGTGCCTCTTATCAAACATTTGTTATCAGAAATTCCCTTTACTACATACATGTACATGTTCTTACATTCAAACCTGTCTACTAAGGCCATCCATGTGACCACTGTAGAGAGGGTGTGAATATATAAGATCCTCTGAGGGGCATCAGTAAAAGTGACCTCTGAGTAAAGTTATTTTGTCATCTTATTTCTTCTAGCTCTCTGGAAAGAAATAACTGTACTAGTTTGGGAAGGACGGATAAGACCACCCAGCAAGGTCCCTGACAGGTGGCTATCTCATCAACTCAGCTCTCAATTAACATAAGAAAAAGAGGATCATGGGGGACCAATGGTCACCAATTAGGCATTGTTTGCTATATAGAGGGAGCAAGTAGCTACAAGTAGTACAGTGTGGCTTTAAGTGGCTACTACAGATAGGTGGCTACTACAAATGAACATAGAGATGGCCGTCACATAGAGGTGAGCATTATGACACGTTGGACTGTACTAGAAGATAGAGTAGTACACTTCAGTTTCTAAGACTACACACTACATACGGTACGGTACTATTGTGTGGTGATCGTCATCATGCCTTGTTCGCGTTGTCCTGGAGTTCGTAATCGCCACCCTTCGACTTCTTTCCCGACTTATCTCCCTTCCTGAAGCCGTCCATGATGTCGTCGAACGTCCTGTTCTTCGTCTCGGGAACGTAGAAGTAGGAGAAGATGGTCGTCAGGATCACGAAGAACATGAAGACCAAGAACGAGTATGCCCCTACGGTAGCCTGTAGGACACAAACGACAAAAGGAAATGGGGTTTTGGGTTATGACCTTGCTGACCTGTGATGCATACCATAATGATTGGCTGGCTTCTGTCCCAACTAATAAAGCCAATTATTTTAGCATTGGATATTATTATAGCGCACATACATGTACATGTATTCACCATGCAAGGTGTTCAAGGCGCTCCAATATTACTAGGGCTCTAGCTGGACTAGCCATTTACATCACAGCATACAACGAATTCTTTCCTTAACACCTGGGTGGAGAGTGGCAAATCAAGATTACTGTCTTGCCAAAGGACACAAGTGAAGTACCGTGCTGGGACTCGAACCCGTGACCCTTCCCATTTCCAGTCAAGTGTTTAAACCACTCAACTATGGTGACACCAACGTGACACCAATATTTAGTCTGGAAGCTGATACTCATTCTAGCAGGGCAGGTTATTGTGTTCCTCTACCCCTACCCCTTACTCCCCCACCACCCACCCCTACCACTCCACAATCTACCTCAATGTTCCAAATCGCTGAACACTCACCTGAATAACGGGGAAAGTAAGACCAACAAGGATGTTACACCACCAGTTAGTCTGGATGGCGATACTCATAACAGCAGGGCTGGGTTATTGTGTTCCTCTACCCCTACCCCCTACTCCCCTATCCCCTACCACTCCACCATCCCACTAATGGTCCCAAGCACTGAACACTCACCTGAATAAAGGGGAAAGTGAGACCAACAAGAAAGTTACACCACCAGTTAGTCTGGATGGCGATACTCATAGCAGCAGGGCGTGGTCCCTGGGTCCACAACTCAGGAACAATCACAAATGGTACAGGACCTAGAGAAAAATAATATTATAATTATTTATTCATTATCAGTTTATTTCATATTTTGTCTACATGGATTTCACAAGTATAGACACAGAACTTAACCAATGATAACAGATTGATATTTTGTCTACATGCATTTCACAAATATATACACAGAACAAAACCAATGATTACAAGTTGTTTTTTGTAAATGAAGAAAATTATTTTGTCTACATGTATTTCTCAAATATATACACAGAACTTAACCAATGATAACAGATTGATATTTTGTCTACATGGTCATGCATTTCACAAATATAAACAAAGAACATAACTAATGATAGCATATATACATACAATCATACACTATTTATGATGGCAAGATGAGTAATATGGTCTTGAAATCATACCTGTACATTAATTGCAATGAAATTATTATTCTATTTATTATGTCAAATCAGGGTTACTAAGCATAATTTTGTACTGATTCTACCCAGATTCTTCTTGGGGGGGGGGGGGAAGGGAAAAATTGATCAATTTAAAGGGCATCCCTGGGTTCAGAATAATTTTTTTTTTATAAAAGTCTAAAATTCCTGGAAACTGATAAAGACGGCACATTTGAAAACACACTGCAGCAGTGGCAGTGATGTCGTCAAAATACCCTGCCTTTAAAAAAATTGGAATACCCTTTCTGTTAAAGATATAAAAAGGTTCAATAACTTACCTGGTCCAACAGCGAATGATACAATGTAGGCATAGATGAAGATGAGAGACAACCATTTCATCCAATCAAAAGTAGGCTATAATAAGAAAAACAAAAACAAATTAAAAAGTAGTCTACAATAACATTGGAACAGTTAGAGTACCAGTAAGTAAATTGTAAGATATCCACGCAAGATCTCAAGGGCCTGTTTCATAAAACAAATGCTAATATTTCTTTGACAAATTTGCTCTCAGCCGATCAAATGCCACGATTTCAGTAGCTTATAACACTTATGGTAATCTGTTATTGATATTGTATGCTGTGAGCATGAAGGATGCTATAAACTAAGAGCACTTTACATAGTGTTAAAGGTAATACAAACTTTTGGTGTGGGGTCATGAATTTGGTTCAAATGAACATACGGTATTAGGAGCATATGCGATCCTACAATATTCAGTGATCGTTGTCGCGATTGAAATCGAGTCTTAAGTTATGAAACTGTAAATAATAAACTCTTTATGTTGTATAGCTCCCTCTCAACATCAAGGTATTAATTAAGCTATAAAACAATTTTTCCTGACTAAAATCGACCGATTAGCTATTCCCGTTTGGAAATTACACATCACAACTATATGTTCTGAGATTTTCATGGTCGCAGCTACTATTGAAATTTATCAAAATTTACAGGGAGCACCGGTGTTTTAGGGGCTAAATTTTTTAGTGCTTATAATACATCCTCAGGGGCATCTCAATATATCAAAATTGTAAAGAATCACTATCCACCCAATTTTCCAAATTTCCCAAAACTTTGTATTACCTTTAATACATTCCTTGCTCTGAACAGATGATACATCTAGCTTAGCCAATACAATCAAACCTGCTTTAGTGACCACCTGTCACATTTTTTGTTTCCCTTGAAAATGGCTTCTCATTCAAACATGTACTAAAGGAACCTGTCTACAAAGACCACTTTTCGTGTTTCCCTTGGGCTGTCGCTATGGACAGGTTTGACTGTGTATGGCTGTCAGATTGAATAGTTTTGATAATAATGACACTTGTAAAATGGGGGATTCATTTCTACAAAACGGGCTCACATCATTAAAAATCATAGATTGTCGCTTTATATTCCACTCCTTTAGACAAATATTTGTTGTGAAAAAGTATTTTTTAACATTTAATTGCTTTTAAATCAATTTTCTGACCACCTCTCATCTGTTGGTTGGAAGAAAAAGATAATAATATGAAATGAATGCATTTGTATTGGGCAGACTCTAGTACATCGCTCTTACAAGGCCCCCCTGACACATCACTGATGTCCTTTGCCAAGGCATTAATCTACATTTGCCTCTCCATACCCTGGGGGCCCTACGTTACTGAATTTCCATATGCTCTCACAGTGACCATACGGTAGGAATACTCCCCAGGGAGTGGAGATGTTGCACATTGTGAGTGAATGAATCCAATGACTTTCCCTATGCTCTCACGGTGACCATACGGTAGGAATACTCCCAAGGGAGTGGAGATGGTGCACATTGTGCGTGAATGAATCCAATGACTTTCCCTATGCTCTCACAGTGACCATACGGTAAAAATACTCCCAAGGGAGTGGAGATGGTGCACATTGTGCGTGAGTCAATCCAATGACCGGGGTAATAATATCTGTGAAGCTCTTAGAGAAAGTATTTCGTATTAAGCGCCATATAAATTCAGATTACCAGTACTATTAAGATTTATATCATTACAATTACGTATGGATGAGAACTTACGACTTACAAAAGTGAGCAGGAAATCATTTGAGAAGATACAGAGGAAGAGACTGTTTTCTTACCTGGAGATTTAAACTGACTGTGAGGAGAGCTAAACATATGGCCATTAGACCGAATGGGACGACCGTTAGAATACGACGTCCAGCACGCTCAACCATGTACACCTGCAATAAAGATAGAGTAATGGCAGATAAGACAATGTATCAAATACATACTTTAATAGGGAAAATATAGAGGGTTCAGTAAAACAAAGGTGTAACTTCATATTTTGCCAAAATGAGTATTTGATATCAAAATGTTCAGACAAAAATGTGGGCTTTCCAAGAAACACAAAGACTTAACTCCACCCAACACCCTATTGAAGTCAATGGCTAGTGAAACATAGACTTAACTCCCTAAGGCCCAAGTGCTCAGTGACACATAAACCACTTTTTCTCAAAATGGCCAAAATGGAGTTACGTCTTTGTGTCACTGACCCCTCGATATGAATGCATGAAGAAACTTGGACCAGACAACCGAAAGCAACATTGAGAATGGCAAGTACAGCAAGTTAAAAACAAAAAGAAACTCTTCATAGTGTTATTTAATTTAATACACACTTGTGATGGAATACATGAACCCCTATTTACTAGAGTAAGAAATTGTGATTTACCTTTTGAAATTTTGGTATTAAAGTTTTGGACTTGACATGCAACAAAGTACACCATGTGCTCGAGCAAGGAGAAATAAAAACTGGCTGAATAGTTCAGGTTCCATTTTATAGCAGTTCTCTGGTTACATTTCCACCAAAAATGTAAACGGTATTTAAAATTTCAAATCTTTGAATCAACCAGGGTAAAATAGAAATGATTATTGTCCTTTACAAGCTAGCATAGGTATGGGATGGTTCCAAGCAGATATTCCAAGATGATACAGGATGCAAGACTTACCGAGATAATCGTCATGACGACGTTGATGGCACCTGTTCCGATGGTGGCGTAAGCAACCTCCTCTGCTCCCATACCAGTCTGGCGGTAGATTTCTGTGGCATAGAAGAGAACCTACACAAGGAGGAAGGGATGGAAGAGACAGAGAAAGAAGAGAGTTAGGAGAGGAGAATATTTGATCTTCACTATTACCATCTTCCTTGTGACTGTCAATTTCATCTTCATCTTGACCCTTGTTATGGTCATCATCTTGACCATTAACTGTCATCAACACCCATCAGCATCATCATCGTTATCTACATTGTCTTTGATGACATCATCAGGGATCATCATCTTCGTCGTTATCGACATTGTCTGTCATTATCATCACCCTAATCATCATCTTCTTCTTTATCAGCATCATAATTATCTTCATCATCAACATTTTCATCATCTTCATCATAATTATCATATATTTCATAATCATGTTTACCACCATCACCATCACCACCACCATCACCATCACCATCATCATCATCATCATCATCATCGTAATCATCATCATCATCATCATCATCATCATCATCATCATCAACACCATCGTAATCACTCTCATCATCATCATCATCAACACCATCATAATCACACTCATCATCATCTTCATCATCATCATCAACACCATCATCATCATCATCATCATCATCATCATCATCATCATCAACACCATCATAATCACTCTCATCATCATCATCATCATCATCATCAACACCATCATAATCACTCTCATCATCATCATCATCATCATCATCAACACCATCATAATCACTCTCATCATCATCATCATCATCATCAACATCATCGTAATCACTCTCATCATCATCATCATCATCATCAACACCATCGTTATCACTCTCATCATCATCATCATCATCATCATCACCACCACCATCATCATCATCATCAACATCATCGTAATCACTCTCATCATCATCATCATCATCAACATCATCACTATCCTCATTTTTTTGTTTATTCTGGTTTTTCAACATGTTTATGGGTAGTTGCCCAACAACTTCCTACAAAACTGTGAGGAATGTGAGGAATAACCAACATTTTTTGCTGGCAGTGTAATACTCTTTTCACACTGGTTTTGCTTAACCCCGTACTTTGCTTAGCCCCGTACTATCCTTAACCCCGGACTATTTTTTTGGCTTTTCACACTCGCTGTTTTTAGTCCCGTACTAGCGCCTATTCTGGAATAAGAAAATTCCCGCTGTTCTCACTGCATTTCGTTAACCCCGGATATCGTGTATGTTATGATAGGACATACTTCGCATCTGGCCAGCTGCGATACGCTCCATTGCGTAGTACCAGACTATTTTTCGTTTCTGTTCTCATTCATTTGGTTAGCACCGCAATTGCGGGGTTAGCAGGAGTTAGCACCACAATTGCGGAGTTAGCCCTGCTATTTTGCAGGGTTAGTTAACCCCGTACTATAGGTGGGGTTAGCCAACTTTAGCCCACTTTGGTAAAAACCAGTCTGAACAGAAAGTGGAATAGGCTTAACCCCGTACTATAGGTGGGGTTAAGACCCCCCCTTAACCCCACCTATAGTACGGGGTTAAGCAAAATATTGCCAGTGTGAAAACAGTATAAATGCCCCCTGTAGGAATGCAGGGCTTAAATTAATCCAAGGCCACCAAGGCCATGGCCGTGGATGCCCCTTTGATTGGCCTTGGAGATTTTTTGTGCCCTTTCCAATTCTTCCTATTTGTGCTGTAATATAGGAATGTGCCCTACAGAAAAGTGGCCTTGCCCTAAAAATACTGAAATTTAAGGCCTGGGAATGGTTCTTCAACTAATACCAAATTATATTATACTAGGAATTCCAGGTTCATACTGAGTATTTTATACACGACTATCCCTATCAAGTTACTGGTACCCGCACACTTACTACATCGTGTGATGAGTAGTGGTTAACCATAAGCACAGCGTTTAACATCTTAAATACACCGCGCTTCATTGCAGAACTAATGATCCCTGTCAAATGATTTCTCTGAAAGGAATATGATTCACTATATCATGGTACTATTGATACTACTATGAATGTGTCTTTTTACTATCAAACTACAGGCATGTCTTCATGAAAGCGGACTATTAGCCTGGCATAAATAGTCCATTGAGTAATAGAATGCCACGTGTCAACCTTTCAAACACTCTGCAAAAATTGATGTGATACTCACTGATACTACAAAAAAATGAATGAATGAATGACATGCTATAAAGGTACTATATCCCATTTGCAGGCCAATAAAATGAAAAGGTTAAATTCCAACGGCATTTGAAAGATAATACTAATGTAGAATTTCCCTATAGAAAGTAGGGCTTGAAAAAGTCTTCCAGTGGAAAAATAATGACTAATAGTTGTGAAATCGACTTAGGAGCTATAGAGCCAATAAGTAATAGTCTTGTTATTGCCAGAGAAGAAAAAAAGCCAGTCAGTCACTCAATAGTGTCTGACAGTGCAGTCTAGCAAGTAAACGGGTTTCCTTGCATAATTTGAATATTAGGACACTGCAAACGTTTAAATTTCACAGATAGGGACATACATGACATATTCATAATTCCTGCAAAGTTCTACAGAACTTGAGGTTAGCTGCAAAAGGGACATAGTACCTTTAAGCCCGAAATAAAAATGATTAAAATAATTTGATGACTTGATTCATGCTTTGTTATTTTGTTACAGAACTCCTGTAAACTGTTAGACATAAAAAGGTTGACAATCCATAAATCAGTAGACAGATTTTTCAATGAAGATGTAAGTGTAATACGGTTCACATTTCTGTGTCTTATATAACGTTCTGTATCTTAGATATCTTAGCTTAGGTATGAGAACTGATGTGTGGTCATGTTAAGTTTTATTAGTCTTTTTCTTCACTACAGACTTGTTCACATCTGCTAGTGTCAATGGCAGTGGTTTACTATTGGATATTTGAAAGCGTAATGTGTTTCACTTTCATGTAACACAGAGATCAGAGAGTATACACATTGGGCCTTTGTTGCACGCAGTTACCATTCATTTACACAAACTATCACATCACATCTGAATGAGTCTCTTAACAAAGTTTATATCTTGACTAAAATTAATACTTCACACTTTTTAAAATATCTTAAATTAGGCGATGAAGCAGCATGAATTAGAGGAATATATTTGTGGTTATATCTCTACTGTTAAAAATAGGTATAGAGAAGGTGCTCTTCGTAAAAGATTTTCCAATCAATTTGTATATGATATGGCCATTATGGGGCTTGTTAGTATATGCTTGTTGGCAAATACGACGTCATATATGCCGTCAGAGGTTAGGGTACACACAAACACAACAGCTGAATCTATTTAACAACTCTCCATTTCTCTTTTGCGTTCTCTCTCTCTCTCTCTCTCTGTCTAGTTCTCTCTCTGTCTCTCTCTTCTTCCCCTCTCTCTTTCTTTCTCTCTCTGTCTCTCTCTTCTTCCCCTCTCTCTTTCTTTCTCTCTCTGTCTCTCTCCCTCCCTCCCTCTCCCCTTTCTCTTTATGTCCCTCCCCCTTTCTCTTTATGTCCCCCCCCCCCTCTCTCTCCCTCTCTCTCTCTCTCTTTCTGCCCTTCCCCCTCTCTCTCTCTCTCTCTTGATCTCTCTCCTCTCTCGCTCAGACATCAAACAAAGAAAACACAATAACTCTCCTAATGGATGCCTCAGACATTGCTCATTCTCAGTCTTATACCATCACATTTTCAATTATCTCATTTTTCTAGGGCTCTTGGCAAGGTCATTTTTTCCTATTCAATAAGAGGTATGGTTAATGCATATCTGTAGTCTGCTCCCTATAGCTCCACTGCTAACATTTTCACATAATCTATTTTTATATCAAGAGACAATTTAAACGCAGATGAATCTGCGCCGCACTTGAACACCTCTAATGGTTATATTTACTTTCTCTGAGTGAAAGGGATGGGTGTTTACACGATCATGTACGTTATTGATCAAGCGTGGAAACCACTTGGGAAGCTAGACACCTGTTACACACATGTCTGGAAACAGGAAAGCAGGCCTACAAGGGCAGAACTAATGGAGGGTGGTTTCAATGTAATAAAAGAGTGAAGAGCTTTGAAAAACACTGTTGTGGTACGTGTATTGCCAAAGCCTATCTATAACAGACATGATAAATGGTAAAGGCCAGTTTTGGAAACGCCCCCCTCTCAAAAAATGAAATGAAAGATAATTACCAATCATGTGAACGAATATGTTTTGACTAATACGTGATCATACAAATTTTGCTGACAAACCGCCTACTAATTGATATACCGGTATTTGGTAAATTATTATATCTATTTGAACCTGATAGATATAACACTTGTCGCGCAAATGTGCGAAGTCCCATATACATCTTTCTGTGTACAGTGCTTGTAACTTTACCAAGACCAGGCCAAATTTCTTATCATTTTGATGATTCCAGAACCTTGCAGTACACAGCAATACTTATATGCTAGATGATCAACATTTTCTGATCAATGCAATCGCATGACCATAACTGGTCTTTATCTTTAAAGGACAAGTCCACTCGAAAAATAACTTACTTTCAATAAAAGCAGAAAAATCAGACAAACCTATCAAAAAAAGTTTGAGCAAAATCGGATAACTAATAAGAAAGTTATGAATTTTTGAAAAGTATGTAAAACTATGGAACAATGAGATTCACGACACAAATTGCGAAGATGGTTATCAGTTTGTGACGTCATGTCCTCACAACTTATCAATTGCTTTATATAGTTTAATCCCATTAATTTCCCTTTTTATCCCCCAAAACTTGATTTCCCCATGCCTTTGCCCAGGTTATATGATTTGTATCATATTGCGTGCATGACATTTCCCAATTTTTTTAATGAATTTTGAAGAATTGATGCTATTTTCCGAATATTGTATTTCATAATTATTGATTTTTATATAAATAGTTTATCAAAATTCAATTTTTCATGATTTAACTGGACAAAAATTACTTTTTATTTGTGCATCCACACAAAAACATATTACTAACAATCTAACTTGGATGCTGGTGTGAAGAAATAAAATTCTTAGGGTGAAAATAGGAAATTTATATTATCAATATAAAGAAAATAATTAGTGGATAGTGAGGACCATACGTCACAGACTCATGAGTGAGTTGCCAATTTGTGTAGTGATTTAAAAAAAAATTCATGTCATTAAAAATTCATAACTTTCTTATTAGTCATCCGATTTTGCTCAAACTTTTTTTGATTGGTTTGTCAGATTTTTCTGGTTCTATTGAAAGTAAGTTATTTTTGGAGTGGACTTGGGCTTTAAGAACTATGCTTGTAATTATGTTATTATTAGGCCTAATAATGATCAACAGAATTGTATACTAAGGAATTTTCTTGCTACGTGACATTTATTTTATTATTTTCACTCAACCTGGGTCAAGGCAGACAACTGGGTGAAATCCATCTTTGGTCCATGAGCATAAATCGTCTGTTAACTCTGTTTGGAGTCGGAAGGGGATTCATTCTGTGTAAAATGGTTTTGGTTAGGGCTCTTCTGTTTCTACACAGATGAAATACTCAGCAACAATTAAAGCCCACGAAGGTGTGATTCACAGAAAGTGAATTATTATATCCACACACAAACCCCAATCATTGACACACCCACATATCCGCTTCATAATGTTTACTTTTTGCTTTAAGTCTGTTGGTTGATGGGTGAATGGTTTACTCATTGGCATGTGGCCAATTCAATTTGTTTGACCAGGGCTCTGTTGTACTTATAGAAAACATACAATGCCAGCACCACAGCTGTTGACTGTGTGGTAATATTTTCTTGTAAAACACCATACAAATCCATCCTCATCCCACTTCCTCGTTATTGCCAACAGTTACTCTCCAGTCTCCATGGCAACGCTATCATGAGCATCATGTACCTATGTGGATAGTAGAGGCAGGGGAAACAGGAAAATAACCATCTATACCTAGGTAACACTTATCCAACGTCATCACCACCATCATCACCATCTTCATCACCATCTTCATCATCATCACAATCATCACCTTTATAATCATCACAATAATCATCATCAACACCATCATTACCATCATCACCATCACCTAAACCACCACCACCATCATAATCACCAAAACCACCACTACCACTACCACCATCTCCATCAACACCAACATAGCTACCACCATCATCACCGATAATATCACCATCACTACCTCTACCACCAACCACCAACTTCATTCCTTACACACACCACCACCACCACCATCTCGAAGCCTTACCCATACCACCACCACCACCACCAACCATCACAATCCTCCTCCTCCCCACCATCATACTTACAGCATTGATACCAGAGAGCTGTTGTCCTCCCTGAAGAATCATACAGATGAGCAGAGGCATCTTCCAACTTGGGTCCTTGAGGGTTATCACGTCCACGATTCCAACCTTCTCCTCAACTTCCACATCTTTCGTTCCCTCCTCCCTGATCTCCTGAATCTCTTCTTCGACATCATCCGAGCCTCGTAGTCTTACCAGAGCTGAGGATAAAAGAAAATGATAGTCTCAGCCTTGACTCATGGACGGCATAAATGTCATTTATTCAGTCTCATCAGCACATCAGCACTCTCACCCTAACTATTAGTACATGTAACTTTTGAGAGAAAAAAATATTCCTTCAAAAGAGATTTTAGGTGCATTACAAATATTTTACTTTTATTTGAAAACTTATCTTTCTATCTTATATAAGAAACTTCGCGAGAGCAAGCCTCATGATAAAATTTTTAACTTCATTCTCATCATTACTTTGTATTAAGTTAGTAGAGACACAGGGAGAGATAGAGACAGTGAGAAATAACGAGAGACAAAGATAGAGAGAGAGAGAGAGGGGGGGGAGGAAGATATATATATATATAGAGAGAGAGAGAGAGAGAGAGAGAGAGATAGAGAGAGAAATAAAGAGGGACAGAAAGAGAGAGAAAAACGGAGAGAAAAGAAAGAGAGATAGAGAGAGAGTGAGAGGTGGAAGGGAAGGATCGAGACGGGGGCAGAGAAGAAACCCAACCCACAGTTCTGGCAAACCTGAATTCAGAGATAATCGCACATCGCCATGCCATACCTTGTCTGGTCTTCTCTACTTTGTTCCTGTTGAGGAGTAGCCATCTTGGACTCTCTGGGCAGAACGGTAGAAGGATCAGCTGGAAGGCACTCATCACTCCAATCAAAGCCAGCAGAATAGGCCAGCTGTCTTCTGCAGTGAAGGCGTACAGTCCTAGGGCCTACAGATACAAGCAAGAAATCACAAGGTTGGATCACAAATCAACAGATGGCATCACATTCAGTCTATCCCAGTTCTTTTTAATTTTTTTCTTATTTTTCTTTCTTTTCTTTCATTTTTTTTTTTATGTGGGGGGGGGGGGGGGCTCTCTTTTTGTGCTCAATCATTTAGATTTTTCACGTACTATGGAACTACCCATGAAGAGCTTCAGCAATATACCCCTACAAAATCAATCCTGAAGCATCACAAAATCACAAAAAGTACCCATGAAGCACTTTTATTGGCATAAAAGCCAATCTTGAGGAGTTATCCATCTTTTCTGGTGATTTTGAGTGAAAACTGAAAAGACTACAAATTTATCGCGATCAACAGAATTAGAGAGTTATACATTTTTTTGAATATCAATCCCTAATAATGAAAAATATCATCAATCGATGGATAACTCCAAAAGCTTCTCTTCGATTCATAGGGGAGAGTTTGGCCAGGATTAGGGTTAAAGGCCGTAGCCTCAATCCTCCCCCCCCCCCCTTCCCCTCACCCAGATCTTCTGTCCTGCCTCGCTACCTGAATTGGACAGCATGGTCCCAATTGCCTATTAAACATGTACTTCATGGGGGTGTTTCACAAAGATCCTAAGTAGAACTTAGTCTAAGTTGGACTTTACATTTATGTAGAGCCATTTGTAGCCTTAAAATGAAATGTATTCAAAAGCAGAAATTCAAGTATTTTAGACCTTTCATAAATTCCACATCAAGAACATGAAATCTCCATTATAATAGAAAATATGAATGATTTGAAACAAAATTTCATGCCTTTTAAAAATAATTTTTACAAAATATTTTCAAAGATGCTAACCGTAATTAGGCTTTCCGTAATTGTTGAGTCCAACTTAGAGATAAGTTCAACCTAGGATTTTGTGAAACACCCCCCCCCCCCCCCTGGTGTTTAGCAGAATTGTTGGGACTCACCTGACCAATGAGGATACCAATAGTGATCATCAACTGATGGATGACTCCAATGGCTCCTCTTAGATTGATAGGAGAGATTTCAGCCAGGTACAAGGGAACAATCGTAATGGCCGTACCTGTCAAATAAGATCAGAATAAAATAAAGAGTTGTGACTAGAATGACTTGTGGAAAAGGGTCTTCTATTATACTGTGGTCGCACCACTAGGCCGACCTTTAAACCAATTCTAGACCAACCAAATTTTGGCCATTGATGATAATATTAATGTCTGTTTGGTCTGTTGTTAGTCTGGTGGCGGCCTCATTGGTGTGCTGGGGGATTGGCAGAGGCATAGTATGAGTTGAGACATTGAGGGGCACTCACATCATGGGGGAGGGGGGGTGGGGGATACACAGAAAATGAAATTTCATTAGGGGGAGGGTACTGGAACTATCACTTTCTTTTCTAGTCCTTTACCTCATCTCTCATGACCATTTTCTCATCTGTTTTTATCTTTTTCTTTTCTTCTTCAATCCATGGTCTCAAGACTTTAAGCTACTATGATTTTTATTTTATAATGGAATTGCATTTAGACTGAAACTGGTTTAAATACTTTGTTCATCATCATATAGCTAGAAGTGTGTTTAGATCATCACAAAATAATGAAAACTTGATGGAAGTCACATTCACTAAGATGCTCAAGTAATTTGAGACCATTTACACAGGTGGGTAGGAATTATCAATCCAGTTTTCTTTGTTCATTTAATGGGCTATTATGTCATTTCTAAGGAAATATTTTGCCAGATCTACATCCTTTATTTGTGGTCTCGAGGATTAAGCTACAGTTAGGTTTTTGTACTCTGTGTCTGTAACGACTTACTGTCCAACACTGTTCCATTGTTCCATCAAGAAAATAACATTTAAAAATGACTTTTCACATCACATGAAAAAACAACATTTGAAACTTGAAAGTGACTTTACACATCACATTGAAAAAACAACATTTGAAAGTGACTTTACACATACGATGGAAAAACAACATTTGAAAGTGACTTTGCACATTACATGTGTTCTAGATGTGCTCATTCAATTCTGTACATAAAACTACATGATTGTACTACATGTATGCACTTTGGACCAGTGGCTTATCAATCCCGGGGATTTTTTTTCTACCTTTAAATAATAGTATTGACAGATATGCATTGTTCTCCAGTGCCAGTGGGCCCATTGAAGTGTTTAGTTCCAAATAGAGAGTCTATTCTTCCTTATCTACAGACGAACGTAGGTCAAGATTTAAGTGATTCAAATATAACCTTCCTCTCTGCAAGCATGACAAGCGCACTTTGATTTCAATAGTTAATCAATTAGGATATTGATATATAGTAGTCAATGAAACTCAAAGCATAAAGTTAAAAGTCCATTTCAAATGCTCCAATAAAGCTACTGATACACAGTCATTAATGCTATTAGGATCTATTAGGAACAATATTCGTAAATGGTAATGGTAGAAACGTGTTAAACCACTTTTAAATAAGGTATTTAACCAAGACATCTATGTCTTGGAAAAAGAATGTTTTGACCTCCAATGTTGGTGACATATTAGTTAAGGGAGAAAGATGCAACAGTCATCTCTTTCCTTTTCTGCCATACCAACGAGATGTTTATTACTCTATTAGTCATACCATTGTTAATTGACCCTGCATACCTCCTTTTTGAAGTACACAGGTCTTTGGAAATCAAACCAAACTATTTGGCATACATGTATATCATTAATGATGAACAATTTTTATAAATGAATCATTAAGGCTTAGTGTGAATTTCTCTGCTTTTGTCAAACAATGTGTATGTGACTGTATACTTTCATTTGTTATTAATATGTTTGTCACCTTGTTTGATTACTTGAAAATTACCAAGTTCTTATTGAAAAACTGAAACTTAATGATCAAATTCAAAGAAAAGCAAGTCAATTCATTTGTTTTAAAGTTAAAATAAACGCATCCTCCCCCCCCCCTTCAAATGGTAAAATGGAACATTAGAGAGATGTAGATTCCAAGCTAAATCGATAAAAGCAAAGAAACCTCTTTTTCGATTGCCTTGTTCGTCATTCATTGTGTAAGAGAAACAGACAGAGGAGAATGCAACGATGTTTGCTCGGTATAAATAGATCCTATCTGGCATGCTTCAAGAGAGTGCTACAAGTACATGTATGTCTTTAAAAGAAAAAAGATGATTGTGACCACACCGAAAAGTGCAGTTTGTATGCATAACTCCTATTTACTTTACTTTATAGGGTGCTCATACTTTTTTATAAGTGTAACATCAATAAAATCAGAATACAAAATTTGTACCAGCAAAGGTTACTTCTATTCAAACAGTATATATGAATTCATTCCTTTTCTTAGGGAATCATTTCATAAACTGACCCAATTCTTAACTCCAGAGAAGCTTTTACACAGTGAAGCAAAATATAAAAATTGCTCTTGATCATAAAAAAGTCATATCAATGCCCTGTTGCATTTTATGTATGAACATTGTATCAAGATCTTTAAATTAACCTAGTTTTAATTCATAGTTTAAGAAAAGAAAAGAAGTTGGGTTTCAAAACATGACCTTGCATTTAATGTAACATTTAATGATGCAAATTCTTACAGAATTTCAGCATCCTTAATCCATATTTCACAAGCTCATAAACAGGAAAATGAACACGCATATTTCTAGGCAATGATTCATATTTTGTGGTTTTAAAGGACAAGTTTCACTTTTCATCTGTGGTCCATCTAAAATAAAAACTCCTTACTCATTACACAAGAAAATGTAACTACAGGTGTCTCTCTGTTGTCGGTATTAAAGTTAGAAACTATAATAGGCTCCTGGCAAATTACAAATATTGATGACTGTTCTCTTTCTATCAACTATAATTTTTCAAAAATAGCTTATTGGCAAATTTGGTCCTAGAACATAATACTGCATTGTCATTGTTGTTTTTCCCTCAAAAAATGGCAAGTAGGGATGGAAAAAGTAGCGGCACACAACAAAAGTCCTACGCATACTTGCTTATCTGTGTTTTAAGAAACTTAACAAGTCAAGTGCAACACTTTTAAGTAAAACAAACTTGTAAAACTGCTGCCGTTTACAACAGGAATGTGACCAAACCTATAGTGAGGAGGAAGACCAATAGAGCTGTATGTGACCACACATCACTTGTAATTGGGGTTAGCAAAGTTCAACAAACTCCATTTGATTTCCACAACTTTCTTGCTCCACTACATCCTTTTAACCTCTGACATATATGGCTGGCATTTGCAGACCACTTGGCTATATTTAGAAGGGGCTAGGGTTGTCTGATCAGTAAACTTATTCAACCTGTACCACTGGGATGGAATGGTGACCCGCCTCCCATGATTGGTAGCATATCACTTGCACATACCACTCGATCACTGTTCTGTTCTATCCAATGTTATAAGATGATCTATAATATTAGCTGCTGCTGGTTGGAAGCCAAGTTTTTGTATCAAGCAAATACACTATTGCATTCTACTTTTCCTAGTATTAGACAATGAAAACTTAAATTATTACAAATGAATCTGAAAAAGCAGACTTGGAGAGATGACCAGTTCTTCAGCCATTTTGAACAACATATATTGGGTGGAATATTAAAATTAAAGAGAAAGTAAGATCATGATAAAACTAACTGCACGTTGTCCTACAGCCTTATTTTCATTTCGTCTCCATTACTTCTCTATCTTATTTCCCTATCTCGTTATTCCTTGTCTCATCTCTCTTTCTCCGTCTCTGTGATACCATCGGTCATCTATCAGCCATACAATATCTTGACCTTTCTGCAGAGGACAGTTACTAATACAGGACATGGTAACTGGATCATTGTGGTCAGGTCAGGTCTTGACGCCCTTCTGGCTTTCAGCACACGACACCATGTTTTTGTCTTATGTTTTACATATTATATGTTACACCAATGGAAAACAAATATCTGTATTATATATGGAAAATAAAATCTTGAATCTTGAATCTTTTAGATGACCTATACCTGTGGCAGATCCAGGGGGCATAGTATAGGGGGAACACCCCTCCGATAAAAATCTTTTGAACTCATGTACATTAGGGCCATCCTCCCTACCTCCATAGTAAAATTTGATAACAATTTCTGGCTAATGATGTGAGTTGTATTTTTCTTTTTTTTTCTTTTTTTTTTTTTTTGGGGGGGGGGGGGGGGTGCAAATTTTAACATCCCCCCCCCCCCCCCCGATATTTTTTTGACACAAACCCACCCCAGCCCTCTCTGGAAAATAAGTCTGCATCTACTTCTGAGTTTACCATATCAAAGGACAATCTACTATTCAAATATCTTATTTTAAAATGCAGCACTTATACTGATGTACATTGAAGCTATTCACACAAACCATGACAAAAACACCAAGTGAAATAAGTGGTGATGCTAGTTAACCAATTGACTCTTGGAACCAAGTGGCTCCTGTATTAAGCCTATGCGAATTATATAAAGAGCTCGGTACTCAACGGATTAATTATGAAATCATACTATCAAAATCTTCTATCTTGTTTTCCAAACGTTATTTGAAATTGAAACCAAAATGCCATTCAATATCTAGAGATGGCACAGGCACACAATGGGCTGTTAATCATCGAGACAATAAAGACAGTTCACCCAGAACAATGACCAGACAGGAAAGTTTTTTTTTTCTCTCTTTTTTACATCACATGTACATGCATGACTACAATACTGTACTGAATCACTTTATCATGATGTAAATCTTGATGACATTCATCAGAAGAATATCTCATGTTCACAAGGGCCAAAGGTTGTATACAGAGATTGCTCTATTATACTTTGTGGATTTAATCTTTTGACTGGAAGAGATAATATTCATGTTTACGACATCGAATAATGAAGGTTGTGACTTGGTAAACACAAGCTATTGTCTGGAGCTGATCATCATATTTTTCTTATTCCGACAATTGTTCATTGATTAACTACAGGTATTTGAACTTGTAGGTCGAGGACATATTTTTATTCCTTCTCTTGTGATGTGACTGTGGCATATTTCACATTTTAAGTTTCTCATATTTTGGCAAAGGTGTTGCAAGTTCCAACTCATGAAAATACAGACATGCGAGTAATATCCGTTCATGTACATGAATTTTTCATACGTGGAGGCCTATGTGTTGGGGATGATCCAAGATGATTAAGGGAAAGGAAGGAAGGGCGGTGAACCTGTACGCACAACGCATTCATCTAGTCATGCTGGGTTCAATTCCGCCACCTATAAGTTGAAAGACAGATGCTTTACTAACGGAGCTATTACTTACTTCCTCTCTCTATCTCCTTCTTTTCCTTGAATGTTTCATAAACTATGAATAAATATCCATTTCCCATCTACTGTTTTCTTCTCTAACCCTCATAAAAACCTAAAATACAGTTTTCCTATGATGCTTCCCTGCCTGAGCTGACTTGCTTCTTCTCTTTATCTGCTCCTTTCCCTTGACCTTAGAGAAATGAAAGTGTTTTTCCTTTTCTTTTCTTTCTTAGAAACATAAAACCCAGGCTTAAATATAGATGCTCAAACTACTGAGGCACCACTGGCTGTGAAATGACTTCCCTCTTTTTATGGCCGATGATCATTATAGTGCACAGCACTTTGCTATCATGATGGAAGCCTTCTATCTCTCTCATTAACTACTAAAGCAACATCTGAAAGACTAGGGGCTTTTTTTTAACTCATGGGGCAAAATCCCCACTGCCCCCAGATTTTATCTGACACTGTTCCTTACCAACATAGAAACCGTGGATGAGTCTGCCTATGATAACCATCTCGTACGAGTTAGCAAGCTCCGCAAACCCAAAGAGGACTGCCGCCACGAGGGAGAAGATGTTGATCATTAGGAGAGCTCCTTTCCTGAGGATGAGAGAAGCAAAATGAGACAAAAGTTACATCATACATCACTTTGTAGATTTGTAAGATGATCTTGATAGAATCATTAGGGTATTGGACATCAAGACCAAAATTTGAGAAATTGTTTAATCAATGTTATCTTTGAGGACATTTCAAACATGACAGGTTAGTTAAAATATTATCATTCTAAACACTACATATACATCACTTTGTAGATTTGTAAGATGATCTAGGTAGAATTATTAGGGTATTGGAAGTCAGACAAAAAATTAGAGAAATTGTTAATCCATGTTATCTCTGAAGACATTTCAAACATAACAGTTTGGGTAAAATTATCATTCTAAAAATTACAAATACATCACTTTGTAGATTTGTAAAACGATCTACGTTGAACCATTAGGGTATTGGACGTCGGACAAAAAATTAGAAAAATTGTTAATCAATGTTATCTGATATCTCTGAGGACATTTCAAACATAACAGTTTGGGTAAAATATTATCCTTCTAAAAATTCTTTAGTTTATAGTACCATCATTTGGTTGCCTCTGACTTCACTTTTGTTATATCGCCAATTCGCCATTCTCCTCTTTTTTTCTCTACCTATTGTTTGTTTCATTTTTCTTTGTTTGGTTCTCTTTCTTTTTCTTGTTCTACACTTCTTGTCTTCTCCCTATTAATCTTCCATTTCTTTTCCTTTTCATCATTCATGTACATTTTTTATATATACATCTCATATTAAAACTAGGTTCTTATTTGTTATCAAGTACTCATATCCAATGATTTCAGCAGCTAATAGCAATGAAGTATGTTGTTACTGGTAACAAATTGAATGAAACGGGGCTATGATTCTTGTCTTCATAACCTTTGTCAAAGATACTGACTTTATGAAGTCTTGAGAGATTTGTCTTTTCAAAGATAACCCCTCCTTTAAATACACAATTTACTGTATTATCTTTAAAATCTTCTTGGTAAAAAGCTGGGCAAAACAGATAAATTCTATTTGTGATAATACTCTTGTTTGATATATCATGAAAAACCTTATTTCAAACATTTTCCTGCATTTACAATAATATCAACAAATAACCAATCTCAAAAACATCAAAATGAGTTTCTAAATACAGAATAAAATGGCATTGAATGTCTTTAATTAAATGTCTTTTATATCAATTCTACTATAAATAGGTCCACAATCTAAAACGAGGGCATAATTCTAAACACGCTCCCAGCACCTGGGTAGGGGATTTGACGCTTTAGCTATCGCCTATCAAGGATTTGCGCACTATATTCCAATCATTGGCAAAGAAAAGTTCCCACGAACGATAATGCCAGATAAAACATATCTAAATGCAAATCCCTAAGATCTCATAACCGAGTTTGCTCTTAAGCTTAATAGGTAGCTGCCCACTTAATTGCATATAATAGTAGCGAAATTGATAAGATGTTCAATCCCTCATCAGATATCTTTCTTGATTGATAAGCGTGTCTTTCTTATCATAAGAACTTATATAACCATCCTTGTGTACACTACCGGGTACTTGCATAAGAGTAATAGGACTGGTGGCTCTTTCCCGTTTTGTAAATGTGAGTTTTGTTCAATTTTTAAGTTGTATTCGGGCGTACCCACTACAAGCTATGCTTTTCAAGTTTTGCGCCTTCTTCCTTGTAATACAAGTTCTTAAATTATATTTATGTTCCTACTTATAAATTGTATTGTTTGGAAGAAAATAAATGTTCATTTGAATTGAATTGAATTGAATATCCGTGTAGGGGGTAATTCAAAGAATTAAATCCTCAAGTACAATTTTGTAATACCCTGTAATCATTACAAACATTTATAACTTATCATTACAAATATTTAATCAAGCAGTCTTGTGCTTTTATTTCCTTAGTACCATCATGGTTCAGGTCAATGTCAAAGAACCTCTAGGGCAGATGGGCCTGAGGATGAAAGGGACTGTGTATAACCAGGACCTAGACCCAATGACAAGTACGACATAGGACCAAGTGGGACATCTACAGGACTTAAAAACCCTGACCGATGAATTTACCTTCCAAGCCCGTCGCTAAGGTAACCACCAACCAAGGCGCCAAGAGCACCACCAATGCACCATACAGAGATGGTGGCGGACCAGAGCCATAGGACACCGGTATCACTGAGAGGCTCACCTCGTCTGTCATAGTTGGACTGGTTGTAAAAATCTTGCATGGTCTGTAGAGGAGATAAATACAAAGGTATACCTTTAGTTTTAAGAACAATAATAATAATATTCCGTTCTTGATAGAGCAACGTCGATCTGGCGCTGCTCAGTGGCTGCCGGGCTCACGATCAATTGGGCAAAAAGAATTTCCATTTTCGGTTTAACTTTATAAAATTTGGAGCGGACTTGAAAAGATTATTCATCATTAATTTTTTTTTTTTCTGTTTTTTTTGTTTAGCGTATAATACATTATGATATAACATCCCTATGCCATCCAAAGAGATTTGGAAATTATTACCCTAGCTCTAGCTCTGGCAGATGTTTTCGGCACAGAGTGCATTTCAAGGAATAATCCTACCAGGTACCCATTTACCTCACCTGGGTCTAGTGTGGCAAATAGACATTAGTGTCTTGCCAAAGGACGTTAGTGTTGTGGCAGGGATTTGAACCCTCTACCTTGCAGTTCACATTCCAGAGACTTATCCAACGGACCACAACACCTCTGCTTTTGTAAGAAATGGGAATTTCTTAAGTTAGTTATTTACTAAAACCTTCTTCATGGTCTGAAGAAGGTAGATAGTCCAGAGTTCAAGACCACAGTTTAAGGATTACATTTTCATTGGAAAAAGAAGAAGACAAAAGACTTCAATTATGTATTAACACTTTTATAACACTGAATTTCTGCGTGAGAATAGCATCATTATGTCTCTGCCTTCATTTTACTAATCACCTTTGACCTCTGCCTCGGTGACCCCAAACTTTAAATCATTTCAAAAATCTAGGGAACGCCAGAATACTCTAAAATAATACAATATTCATATAATAATCATTCAATAAATCCATACATACTTGTGCCATGCTTTGGGTAAATAATTTGAATGTTGTCCAATTTAATGAAATAATACGTAAATTGACTTGATTATATTTCACATTTGACCTAATGAAAAGAAATGAGATAAAAATATAGGGTGGACAGATACTTTGACAAGCTACAAAATGAGGGGGCAAATCAAATTTCTTTTTTGTGTTGTGAAATAATATTGTTCCGTATTGTCACATCCAGAAAAAACGAAGCTAAAATATTCTGGAAAAAATATCCATGTACACTTCTGTTTATTTCAGACTAACTAATCTCTAACGGATTTTATGAAACGAGAGATTTTTTTGTATTGATGTTTTCTTCTTCAAATAAATGTGTGTGAATTTTTAAATGAAATAGCAAGCATTTTAATGTCAAGATAAGAGTATAAATACATTTATAAATATAATGTTACAGAGACAAGAACATGTAGTTCGTCGGGAGTTTCAATTTAAACGCCAAGTTTGGCCGTGTTTTCTTTCCTTATCTGTCAACCACAAAAAGTCAGGCGACAGTGGCTCAACGGATATCGATAGCACATACCCAGCATATTCCATGACGTCACCGAGTGTTACGTCTACGGAAGACAGACGTCAAACTTTCGCTGCGTCTCTAATGGGACAATGTGATTGCCGAGCTCTAGCCCAGCGAGCTTCCGACGTAGGAAATGTTTCTTGGAGAGGCACTTGTCTCACCGATGAAATGCTATAAATACGCCGAGTAAACATTGCCGAAAGGAAAGCTAACACCCGAGCTGGGGGCGCCGAGAGAATTCCTCGGGAGGTGGGATTCGCCCGGGATGTCATTGATGTAACTTTCTAGCAGGCTGTGCGCCCTTTTCAAAGCGTTCCCAGCAGTAACTCGTTGTACGTAATGAGTTTGTCTTCTGTCTTTTTTTTTAAATGAAGATCTCTTTTTCTTTTTTCTCAAGAATGCTTCATCTCCGAAGCAAAACGTTCATTTTTTTCATATCTATAGCTGTAATAGCTTCAACATTATTTTGGGGTCCCAAATCAAATATATTAATATCATGGGGGAACCGGAACATACTATAGAATTATTTTTCAAAAAAGTATTTGTCGGCAAAACTCTTTTTTGACTTAATGAAATGAGTGATGTGTAGCAAGGACAGAGATGACGAAAAGTGATGAAATAAAGAAGAAAAAAAAACATATTCAACACAAAAGAAAAGTCATTAGCCATTTCTAACATGTTCCATCAATATTTTTTAAGTAATAATTACACAATGTACTAATTTTTTTCGCGCGAACCGCTTCCCTTTTACTTTCCCCAAAGAAGAAAAAAGATAACCTACTTATTCATTTCAAAGTCCCGTACTGATTTACGTGCAGGGGTAAGAATGCAGAATGAACCCGATGAAGACATGACTTTATGCTTGTCTTCACATTGTGACGTAATGCACATGATACTCTGCTAACATGGCGGCCAGACATGTTCACAAACATTTTCACAAACATGTTCACGTCACAGAGGTTCTCAAAGGATGCATCGTCTCAAGTATCATTTAAAACATCACCGAAAGGACAATCAGGTGATATATTTTCTTGTAAAAGGAATACACTTTCGACAAAAGAATTCCTATAACAAACTGATTCGTTATCAATGCAGTAAATTACTTGTTTGAACCAAAAAATATTAAGAATTAGACACGTTCACAACTACCTTCGAAAATCAATTCAATAGCAACACAACAATTTCGGCGGGTTCTGTGAAGATTTCACTTTTATTCAATTACCAGGTCTCACAGACTGTCTCTGAAAATATACAAGGGTATAAATTTCATCGAAAACAATTTTTTTGATCCTCTCAACGTTTTTTTTTAAAGGATTTTAAAGATTACTTTTCTCTTTAAATTTCTTAGCATGAAACGCAATATCGCCAAGCAACAAAACTGGATGCACTCTGAGACGCTGAGCAGAAATGTTTGCCCTTTCTACTCATTTTATAATTATCTGGTATATTTCCAGGGCTCTGAATTAAGAGTTACTGAACGAAACAACATGATGTGGAATGACTATTATGACTGTCGCGAAAGGGTTAAAGCCCAATTCACTACGTGAAGTACAGACACATCCTTCAACCAGGGACTTGATAGATGTCTATCAAGTCCCTGCTTCAACCAAGGAACTTCAAGAATTCCCTGCTTCAACTTCTCGACTTGCGACTTGCCAAGAAATTTTCCGGTGTCTATGTTTTCATAACATGGACCTACTTGCATCTACATGTATGTTCTCGCATGATCATTTCCACATATAAATCTAACACCCCTTATCAAGATCATTGATCAAGAACGTGCATGGTGCCGTGCATCAGACACATGCCCCACCTTTGTTTCTTTGCCAAAACGTCTGGAGTATTTCTTTTTCTGTTTTTGTAACCGTAAACCTATACGAGAGATAGCTCCATTGTGTTGACCTACATCCATTTAATGTCGTCAAGCAGCCAAAAACCAAGTCATCAAGCTCATCATCCTATCTGAAAGCTGATGCCCCGCTGGCGTCACTTCTCTGCTATAAAGAAGATGCCTCTAGAAGGCCTATACGCGACCATCTTCATGTCCTTGTTTTATCTGAACTCTGCGGATAATTCTTGTTTCTGTTTTGTGTAACATCAGCCTACATCTCAATGTCAGACTTATGCGTTTAATATCATAGGATAATCAGAATTGCTCCGGGCTTTATTTGTTTGTTGTTTCACAATTTAAGAGTTACAGTTTTGGGTTGCAATTTAATTTGGTGTTAGGTTTAGGGGTAGGGTTACATAGTATTTGTTCCCGGATTGCAATTATGAATTCTGTTTAATAATGACGAAATTTACCCTGGAGTAAACTCCGAAGGAGCATGTAACGTACAACCGGCATGGTTTGAGAGGTAGAGTCGTTGGCATCTCCTTTGCTATGAACATGAATAAGGCGATATCACTGCAAGTTTAAAGCATGTACCTGACCTTGGTCGTGTCCTTGCCATACCTAACCTCTGCAGATAATCTATGTTTCTGTTTTCATAACATGGGCCTACATCTCATGGTTTAAATATCCAATACCACCACGATCATCACCCTTGAATCTACGTCCACGCATACATACAAGCTATCAAAGGTTACGCAAGTAACCACTAATCACCTTTGGGGACTCCTTGGGTTACGTATACTGTCTTGTTCATCGTCTCATATACAGGTGTATATCACCTAAGGCAGTCTTGGGTATCTTTCTTTGTTTTTATAACACAGACCTACTCGTATCAAACTCAAGCCATGGTGTGGTTATCACGGTGAACCTTAGGTAGTCGTTTCAACGTTCAGGTTATAGACGAAGTCTTGTCTTTAAATAAATTTGCTTTACCTTTGTCTGCCGTCTCTGTTTTTATAACGGCTAACCAATTTATTTAACATCATTATGATGGAACATTAGTTATCGTTATGCAGCCATCAACACCTTATTTCACCTTTCCGTCTTCCATAACATAACCCTATCGAAAAAATGGCGTCGTTTTTTCTCCGCCATAATTTATTGATAATGATATGCCGTTCTTGTATAGCGCCTATCACATCAAAAGCGTCTCTATGCGCTCCTAAAGGGCTTTGGATAATTACCCCAGTTTCGCTCTGGCAACCATTAGAGCGCTTAGTGCATTAAAGGAATAACTCCTAATACCAGATACCCATTTACTACACCCGGGTCGATGTGGCAAATGTAGATTAATGTTTTGCTAAAGGACGTTAGTGCTGTGGTATAGGGATTCCAACCTATTCCCTTGGGGTTCACAGTCCAGAGACGTTTTCTCTAAAGCGCAACGCCTCAACACCTCAACATGTCCGCGGTAAAATAAAAAATTTCGCTATATAATCAATACCACTTGGTACCTAGTGAACTTTCAAGTTGGCAGGCAAGCCCGGAGAATTTCAGTCATGCGTCCAATCTGGGTATATGGTTTCTCTATAACCTTAACCAGCTTTCATTCTGATCGCTTGGATGGCCGTTTAGTCTACACTAGTTCGTGTACTACCCAATTGGTCTATAATCATTTTGTCTACTTATTAATTTAGTATATTGGACGATGTGAGCGGTAGTCATAGACAACCTTCGCCGTAATCATAGTAGTAGCCAGTGCATTAGTACATGTAGTTTATAAA